ACACACACCAATATATATACACACACACACCAATATTTGTAAATCTCACAAATATTTGTCACAAATATTGAGACAAAAAAATCTCACTTTTCCCAAAATTAAAATTACATCGGTTTCTTGGCAGGTCTCTGCATTTGTTACTGTATTCAGATGTTACTTTCACCATAGGTGATGAGTATAGCAGAATGAGAATAAAGGCAGGAATGGGTGTCATCGTGCACACAACTGCGTGCATGTGTAAGGCAAGACAAGCTGAAACTTGAACTAAAACATCTCATTTTCTTCCTAGATGCGTATCGGCCTCCACACTGGTTCAGTACTTGCTGGTGTAGTTGGGGTTAAGATGCCTCGCTACTGCCTTTTTGGGAACAATGTCACATTGGCCAACAAGTTTGAATCATGCAGCCAACCTAGAAAAATCAACATCAGCCCCACAACCCACAGGTGATATAACTCTGCAACTTGGGAACAAGAAAAGTAGCTCATAGTCACATGTCACTGTCTCAAAACATATAATCTGAAAAAAAGCTTCAAAACAACTGTCCACCAAGCTAAATATTGTATGTTAAAGTGCCCGTATTATGTTTTTTGTGCATGTAAAAGCTTTGCAGGTTCAAGTTAGTCCATCCCAAAAGGAGATATAATCTCCCATTGAAAATGCTACCCTTTAACTGCTTGAAGCGTCCTGTTTATCATCCAGACAGTTCTGCTGTGACTTATTTACATCGCCAGGTAACACAATGACAATTACCTCCTACAGACAGACCCACAAACAAAAAGACTGACCTGCTACCTAGCTGGCAGCTCTTACGGGGCCATGCTGCTACTTATAGACTTATGAAAGGTGACCACTGCCTCATTTTTATGAGACAGACTGACCAATCAGAGCAGACTAGCTATTACTGGAGCTAAAGAAAAGCCTTTCAGAACAGAACAATAACTGTTCAAAGTAAACCTATTCAGGCAGAACCCCCCAAATAAAATTGCATACCTCTCTTTCTGCACAGTATAATTTGTTTCCACAAGTGGTTGTTGCAGATAACAAAAAACCCAAAGTGCTCTTGACAGGAAACTTAACATTTGGATGAGCACTGTGTTTCCTCTTGTGTCAAATAATTCGCCACGTTGTTTTGAGATCCATCTTTTATCTGTGCGCTCTTTGTCCCAGATTGCTGAAGGGTCGCCCAGAGTTCGTGTTTGTTCCCAGGAGCAGACAGGAGCTTCCGGCCAACTTTCCAGACGACATCCCTGGAGTTTGTTACTTTTTGGAGGCGTCTGTCAAAACTTCAAAACTGAATATGAAATGAAGTCATGTGACAGATCCCAAAAACGTTAGCTATGGAGTAATATAAACCTATCTAGTGAACACAGTGCAACAACCTTGTATATCTTGGTTTTGGTTGAGTTGATGTCGATGATAGTGTCTTCGAGTCAAACTCTTGCAGTTGCTTAATTACAGAGATGTCAGTTTACTGTCAAACATGAGTCTTGTCTCTGTACAATTATCCATTTGTACAGTTGTTGTAGAAACTTACTTCATCTTTCTTCCAGAATGAGTCATCTGCGCAAACTGATATGATATAAAAGTAGCTTTCATTTCTAGCTCCTGCCAGAGATATAGAAGTGCTGTCAAGAGAGGACTTTGGGACTGTTGTTCTAAGACTGTTGTCTGTAAAAAATAGTATAAAATGTATAGTAAATGCACCAAAAAGCATACAAATTTTTAAAAAGAGTCATTAAAGTTTTTAATCTTGTAAAATGTGGCTATGTTACAAAAATACATTTTTGATATGATGACCTGTAAATGTCTGACTGCCCAGACTAGGTACCTGGTAAAGCAATGTGTCCCAGAATTACATACAAATAATAAAAATAAATAAATAAATAAAAATATATTCTTTAATAACATATAACACAAACAATTAAACTATGTTAAGAGTTTAGGATTAAACCTTTGAACCAATGAAGCAATGCCGAGCAGATCAAGGTGCCTTATGCAAGCTCTACAGGCAGGATCATATGTTGGTTTACAAACAAATGCTTTTATTTATTTATTTTATTTTTTAATAAAACACAACCAATAATTTCTTTCTGAGTCAGACAAAAAACATATACACTGTTTTTTTTAGGTGTGTTGTGTAACATAAAGCATTCCTAACTCTCAGTATCTTAACATACGTAATGTTTGTGCATACTTTTGGTCTTTTTCCACACCTCACATTTATACTATATTTATTACATGAGTTTCATCGCACTCCTTTGCTACAGAGGGAATATGACACGGCCAGAGTACAATGAATGTCACTCATAATGATGTGCTTTAACCATTATTGTAATGTAATCAAAGTGCAATAAATATTGACAAACAGTTTTAAATGAATGACTCTGTAGCACATTGCATTGTATGAATAATTGTCATCTTAAGTTATTGACATATATATGATGCAGTACATGCATTGAAAAGTAACTAGATGCATTTACTCAATTACTTCTTCTCTGTATCATTTCAGGCACTTTTATTTTACGTGAGTGTTTTTAGTTTAAATTTCAGAGTAGAATAATTCCCTTTTTACTCCAGCACATTTATATGATAACTTCACAAAAATTAATTCCAAGGCAGAAACACATATGAGCTTCCTAAATTTGGGATTACAAAAACTATTTCTTACAATTCAGATTCATGCTCATTTCAATATTGGAATTGTGAAATTGTTGGCTAATATGTATGTTTTAAATAAGACGTTGTCTGATAGCTGATACTTATACCGCTGATTTTTGTTTATTTTTTATGTTGCTATTAATCCCTGTTGTGTAAACAAAGAAATTATTATAATAAATAACTATTAAAGTCTTTCAGTCCATTATCATACTGTCTTGAAAGAGAATACATTTTGTTCTATTACTGACCAAACTTGCATGTAGGCGCTGCATTGATAAATAAAAAAGAAATCCAACCAATGCCATTGGTGTCCTGCTAGTTCCAGTGTTGGGTTGATAAATCGCTGCATCACAGCTTAATGAAATATAATGACTTTATCAGCCCAATAGCATATAACATTTTTAAACTTTATGTGACCAGCTACAGCATTAAAATGCTGCATGGAGAGCAACAAAAATGTTAGGTGCACATGTAAAGTGAGGATCATTTTAAAAATAAGACCATGAAAGAAATGAATCTGGATCTGTGTGTAGCTGCAGAAAGAATGAACACAACCCTGATGTGTGCTAGACAGGTTAAAATACTAACACCTTTATAAAATACAGAGTTATTAGGAAGTATTTTGCTATAGGCAACACTTACTATTCTTAATCTTAATCTTAATTATGTTAATATTTCGTTACTTATAGCCTTTGTTTAGTAGAAACATAAATGCATGACCTTTATTTTGAAAAAGAAAAGTAGGTCTGTTTTAAATATATTTATATATAGTTGTGGTTCCAGGTGTATCACCTGGGTACTTCTACCCTTAATATCAATAATAAAGCCTGTTACTCCGCATACTTTTTCAAAATGATGATTTTAGGTAAGTTTAAATGAAAAACTGTCAACATGTTTATCAGAATATATTATCAGGGCATTACAGCTGAACGCTCTTAGCAGAAACTATGTACGGAGAGTGCAGGTTGACCAGCATCACTTGGGCAACAGCAGCTTCTTTGCCATTGGTCAAAGTCTGCTTACGTAACGCCATTGCCGATCTGTTATTGGACAGTCTGGCTGTCAGTAAGAAGCTGACTGAAAAACGGGAGCTGGACCCAGAGACAGTCAGCATCTGTACCAAACGATGAAGATTTTGCTGGATTCTAATCATTTTGCTCAAAAATAAAGAAAACGAGAAACAGCGGACATCATGGTAAGTATTTAACATTAATATTTCCGATTGTGTTTGAATACTAATTAAATAAGTAGCATTTCCCCCCCGAAACGGTGTATTTGCGGTTGTCGTTTCCTGTTGGAATACCGCTATGTAGCGGTTTTTACAATAATATCCATGATTATCCTCATATTAAAATATATTAACGGCTGGACAGAACGTACATGAACACAAAAGGTCATAAAATGTTTAAGAATAGTTAATGTAATGAGCATATTTAAATTTATACATATATATATTTTTTAAGAAAATTGCGTTCGTTCCATGAAATATAACTCACGTTGCTCGTGTTTTTGAAATTTTACAGTATGGTTTTGTGAATCACGCCCTGGAGCTCCTCGTTTTGAGGAATTACGGTCCGGAAGTGTGGGAAGACATCAAGTGAGTTTCAGGATGTGTTTACTATTCAGCCATGTTGGTATCAAAGGTTACACTGTAGCAGCTCAGATCACCACAAGGACACAGGCCAGGCCTAATGTATACTGTACAGCCAGCCCAGCAGCATACACTGCCACAGTGTTACCAGCAGGAACAGATTAACCCGATTACCCTCCACCCTCTGTTGGCTCATGTAGGTTCACACCAAAAGTTAGTTGGTGAAGTGACAAAATGCCATTATTATTATTATTATTATTATTATTATTATTATTATTATTATTATTATTTCCCATTTTGTTTGTAATTGTAACAAGTCCTGCAATAACTATGCAGTACAGACCTGAAAAAACTTGTTTGATGAAGTAACCTACTAAGAAATGCAAAAACTTATCATTCTGCTTTCAAAATCTTGCTTATGTAAAAATCTGCATAAATAATCACCAATATCAAGTACATTCAAGTACTAATTATTGTCATATTTGTCTATATTTGAATATATTTGCAACCTATAAGTGGAAATATTTAAAGTATAAATGTACTCTTACTTTTTCATAGAACTGGTTGATCTCTGGAACTATAATCATAATTGCTGTTTACTGTTTAGATTATCCACTTTATTAGTGGAGTTTAACATTTAAAAAAAGAAAAAAACTCTCTTCTCTAAATCCATCTGCCATTTCTTGCTTTAAATAAGCATTTCTTATCAGGTTCTTATATTTAGGCCTAGTAGGTTTGCTTTAATTGTAATCAAAATGTTATTAGTCACTGAATAAAATGCCTTTTTCACCAGAATGTAACTTAAGTAAATGTGTTATTTTTATTTTTATTTTTTGCAGAAAAAGCTGGCAATATCTTTTTGTGATGTTTTTACATTTTTTCAAAGAAAAACTGCAAGTACACCCCTTTGGACAAAACATGATGACTTAACAGTAGGAGAATCACTAAAGATGCAACTGGAAACATTGCTAAAGATCAGCATTAACCAGACAGTACAACCGCACAGTGTCACATCAAAAGACAGGAATCTTTATTGCACACTCTGAAATAACAACAACAATAACAACAAAATAAATAAAGATAAAATATAAAACCAGTATAAAAATAACTATGAACTATAACTATAAAAGAGTGTACTTTTGTCATGTCTAGAAAGTGAAGATGCAAAGTAGTTCATGGAGTTGGCAAACAACATTATGATAACACTGTGAACAAACTGATAGGTGGGACCTCTAATATGACAATCTGCTGCTGTGAACATAGTGGCTTTAGATGACAAATGAAAGTGCTGTTTGCAGGTTTCTGCCAGTGAAACCTTGTTTAGGAAAGAGACGCAGTGTCTGATTTAGTGGGATTTGAAACTAAAGCATTCGAGCTGATACTGAGAGCAATATCAAGTAAGCTTATTATTATCTCATTTTAGACTGAGGTGGCATTCGAGGCAGTTGGCTCTTAATATGTTTAATATGGACACTAAAGATTGACAAGGATACAGCAGCAAAACTAACGAATCCTTTGTTTATTCATATACAGTAAAGTATAATTCAAATGTGCTCCAATTGCCAAAACCCCATAAATAAAAAATTTTACACTTTAAGAGCTTTAAGTTTAGTCAACTTTAGGTTTAGTCTTAATGAGTCCTTTCCCCAGAATAATGGCCATTTTCTTCAGCTGTTGAAATATTTGGCTTAAAGTGAAGTTTATTTTTCATCTGTAGTCTTCTATGCCCTATGCATGACCCTGTGAGCAGCAGCTGCCTTTTGTAAATGTTTTCAGAGTGGTCATTTTCCAGCCACCACAAAAAAACATGCTTCAGCGCAGCATGCTTCAGCTCAGGGTTATATGTTACATCTCCAAATGTAACTCACTGTTACTCAGTGCTCAGTTTACCAGGTTCCGTCATGTGCTTTTTTAAAGGTTTTCATGAACTGAGTTATTTATATCAGAATTCTTACTTTTTCAAAGCTCGGTATGTTTTTCCAGCTGTGACACATTATGATAAAATTGTGGTTGCTGGTCAGGCCTGTAAATCATTCCTGTTTACTCAGTTAAATATTTGCAATCAGAAGCTCATTAAGCTTTCTGACAATTTTGTGAAAATTGGATTTTCTAAGATATAAATAGCAAAATGTACTCAGGAGCTTGGAGTGCATTGTATCAAAGGACCTGCAGTAGATCTAAACCTGATTAGCTATCTCTGCTTGTTCAGCAGTGCAATTCACACAAGGACTTCAAAGCAATATCAAAAGCTTTTTTTTAATGTTTCCAGCTGAATATATATCATGAAAGAAGACCCAACCGTTGGTGTCGAGTTGTTGGTGTAAACAGAAAAGCAATTGCAAAAAAGCCAAAGCTAGTGGTTTCCTGAACAAGTTGCCTACGAGACTGTTTACTTCTGCTGTGACATTCGCTGTAGCTTGTGAGTAACAGCTTCCCTTTGTTTTCAGGAGGGAGGCTCAGCTTGATATTGAGGGCCAGTTCCTCGTTAGAATCATATATGAGGATGGCAAAACATATGATCTTGTTGCAGCTGCAAGCAAAGTTCTCAGTAAGTAACAGCACGATTTTAAATCCCTGGAAATGAAATAAATGTAATTTGATGTAGGATACAAATGAAGCTTTAGCAGACATTTGCCCGATTTTATTAAGCTTTTTGTTTTGTTTTGCAGAAGTTGATGCGGGAGAGATCTTGCAGATGTTTGGCAAGATGTTTTTTGAATTTTGCCAGGAGTCAGGATATGACACCATCTTACGCGTGCTGGGCTCAAACGTTCGTGAATTCCTGCAGGTAGAGTCTTCCTCTTTGCCTTTACGAGCGAACTG